CGGAACCCCAGTTTCGCGTGCAGCTACCCCGCGTGTCGCGATCGTCTTATTCGGCGAAAAAAAATCCGCGAGCGCGCCGTGTCCCTGAGCGTGGCTCTTGAACTTAGCAGTGTTGTGCGCATCCTTGCTTCGTTGGAAGATATTGTTACAATCGCCCTCGAACAGAGTCGCGTTGCTCGCCGAACGGGGGTCGCGACGCGAGGGGCCGCGAGGACTGCCGTTTATCGTCGACCAGTATATTGAGTAGCGTGCGACCGTACGAAGAAAGCGAGTCCCGCTGCTGCGACCAGCGAAATTCCACCGGCGAGGCCGTCGTCGAGATTCTCCTCGCCATTTCGACGGCACCGCCGCTTTTTTCCTCCGCGAGCCAGTCACCCCTTCCTGCGGTACACCTGGAACTCGCCATTAGCTTCGGATATTTATCACGAACGTCGATCGGAGCCTCTCTCAGTTTCAACGGTGGACGATGTTGGAAACGTTTCGCGCGTGGTAGGTGTGTTTAGGTTCGTTGGGGTGCTTCGCGATAAAACGGGCTCTAAGAAGGGACCGTCGAGTGTCGTTTAGCAGGACAGGCTTTGTTCCTCACCGACTTCCCGCGCAGTGTACGTACGTGAACCGCGGTTCATCCTGGACGTTGTTCCGCGCAAGATACGCAACTGGAGAAAACGTAACATGGAAATAGCAGTGCGTCGTTGTGAACAAGTTCGTTTTACCTACTACGTTCTTCGATGGACGTTGAGGAACAAGACGAGTCCCGAGGAGAGAAATGTTCGAAATTGTTTGACTCGACGTGATCGATTTGCGAAAGGTAAAGCATCTATCGCGAAACCGAGCAAACCGGTATATATTGTCGTTTTATCGAATCGAGTCAATTTTTTTTACCATTCGACTTTCCGCTGTCATTTCGATGTCGGTTAGAATTTCAAGATTCATCCTCCCGCTGTTTCGTGGAATTCGCTGGAATTTCGTGGGTCCTCGTGCCGATATTCGACGGGAGAAACGAACTCGTTTCGCTAAGACGAACCGCGAGGAATTGCATTTCTCGTAATTTCGAGACGTCGCGGTTCATTGGCGCGGGGGTCGTTACGAAATTCCCGGCAACAATGTGTCGCAGTCGGTCGGCCGGCGAAGACGCGCGATGGCGATGCACGTCGCGCGTGTACGCGCACGCCGGCCCGCGTTGACAAACTAATCCCTGCGTTATATCGGGTGATCGTAAAGCACGCGCTGACAAGCCAACAGCCGCGTAGTATTTTCGTGGGCGGCTGCGACGAATTTTCGCTACGCGTTTCGCCAGTGTCGTGACTCTGTCTCGTCGAACACGCGACACACGCGTACACGCGTACACGCGTACAAGCGAGCCGAGCAAAGTCTCTTGGTGCATGCCGTCTCGAAATCGACCGTTTCGCCTTTTGGCTCTTCCACGCGGCACATTCGTTACTTTGTAATTTCGATAATCCCTCGTGATCTTCGCTTTGCTTCGTTCCGCGCATTCCGAGTCACCCGTACACGGTTTCCATTCTCGCAAACCGACTAGAAACGCTATAAATTTTCCTCATTTTCTCGACAACTCGCATTTCCAGATGTAGCGCATCAAACGGTTGCAAATTTCCACACGGATAGACGTTCCCACTCCTTTTCCCGGAATAAATATATAATTGACGTGTTACGCTATTCGATAACGATCTATCCTTTCTTCTTCGCCGTTCGAATTCCCGTTTAACAGCGTGGATGATTCGATGATACCACGATTATCGCTCGAGTCTCTTCTTCGTCGTACGATAAAAATGTCGAAAAGAAAACGTTCTTTTCCACGCGCGTTTTCGTTTCGGACAGTTTCTTGTCGATCATCGTGCCAGGGCATAATTATTTCGTTCTGGCACAATTATTTTGTTCGCAACGCGACGTTAATTAACATACTTGCTGCGTTAATAAACGATAATTTTCGTCAAAGTTTATCAACGAAAGGTAATTATCGCATTTGCCTTGAATCTCGATTCCGAAGCGAGACGGGCAAACAACGAATTTAACTTTCCCTCGGTTCCGTCGTTTCTTCGATAATTCGAATTGGTCGAAAGTGTAGGATTGACGGTGAATTTTTCGCTGGAAATAAGAATCGTGGTATTGAAATGGAACACGATACACGGATAATTTGTAAAAGGGGAAATCGATGAGTGGAAAGGCACAGCAACAAGTACGCGGCGTTGGTGGCGTGAATCGAGTTACAGTTGTTTTCGTTTCCGCGTCAACAGCGACTATCATCCACCAGCGATGATTAACTCGTGTAACCGGCGAACGCCGCGGAAATTAAAGTTGCATTATCCAGGACCCGGCGCCGGTTAACTCGACTGTCACGAAGTGTGCTTAACACGGTAACGCGGATTAACGCGTTCGCCGGAAGCGGCGCGTCTTTCACGCTTTGCGGCAATCGAGGCACGTCACTTGGACGACGCTTCGACTTTCCACCAACCTACCACGCAACTTTAACCTTTTTCATCGCCATTTTCTCCAATGTCTTCCACCGAAGCTTTCGGCGATGCGACGCTTCTCGTAAATTTCGACAAAGCGTTTTCCTTGATAATTCTCCCATCTCCGTTCCGAATAGACGATGATACCGTTTCCGCTCGTCTTCTACCGTAATCTTCCGCGACGTAACTACCGTCAATCGTAGGAACTAGGCCTCGAATTTTCAAGAAATTCCTAAGGCTCCTAGGGTGTTCATGTTTATTTTCTTTCTACTAAAAATCCACTCTATCGCCTTATCGTCGCCTTCTATTTTGTACGTATGAAATTTACCTCTGGTCGACTACGAACTTTAAACGTTATTACGATCATCGAACTGCAACTGGACGTTCCTCGCTGCTCCGCAGTCTTTCCCGAGTTCCTAACGCTGGGACCGTTTAGAAAATTCGAGTCGTATCCTTCGACATTTTTCCGAAACAACCGAGTGAAATTGGAACAACGTTTAACGCGCGAGGACATGGACGAAGATATCCGTTCGTTTAAGAGAACGCTATGATCAAAGTTTCTCTCGCATCGTTGAGATTCCCGAAAACTAGGAATTCCGTGGTAAGCAAAACTCGTTAACGAACTATTAGTCTGCGAATTTCAATCGACTCGCGTATACACACGCGTTACTATAACAACGGTTTATCGTTTCAACGAGCCATCTTCCAAATGACTAGCGAATTTTTAACGCGAAGCTCAACGGTCAGGTGTCGTCTATATTCCGGAAAATGAAACGAGTTTTTGGAAAAACCGGGCTCTACCTTCGTATTTATAACGCAAAGTTCATTCGTTTCTCGGTCCCCCGATTAGCGTTTTCAATTTCCAGCAAAGTTACTTTCGACTCCAGAAACGGCGAGGGGAACACAAGCTCGAACGTTCGACCCTTTCGTCGCGATCACCTCTCGGTTCGTCGTTGGACGTTTACACGCGTAGAATCGCGCGGAGAGATGAATTTATTCGCGAGACGATCGGAATCGGATCGGTGATCCTCGGCGATCAGGTCGTAACGAGGCGTGAAAAATGAAGGGCGCGGATTGGGTGGAGAAAGGCGTCACGGCGATAAGGATCGAGACGCGAGATTCGGCGGCGAAGGGGTCGAGAAGAAATGGAGGGCGGCGTGTGGGTGGTAAGGCTGCGCTTTGGCGAAAAAAAGACCGGTCCAGCCTGGCGTCGGTAACCCCTTGGAAACTCGATCACACCTCGTCGTTGCGCTGCCACCGAACGTCTGAAAATCGTAACGGCGCTGGGAAGAAAGGCAGCGTTCAGTCACCGACTAGCAATCGAAGGGTTACCGTCTGCGGGGCGGTCGGACGGTCGGGCGGGCGATGGGGCGTGTGGAGGAAGGGGGGGGAACAGCTTGGACCGGGGGACGGGGCTGAAGAGTGTGGGGTGAAAATAAGAAACATAGATACAAAGAGGAGGGAGACGCCGGGAGAAAAAGAGGAAGGAAAGAAGAAGGGAACCCGACGACGATCGGCAGGGGTTGGAGAAAAGGGCGGTCGGGGAGCTGAAAATACGAGATCCGCTCTGGTAGGGACCACCTAGCCAGCCTCCGGTCCTTTCCGCGGCGTCTCCCTCCTTCGCGCAGCTTATCCCTACCGCAACGGCGCTCTCCTCTGAACACGAGAGCCGCGGAGACCGGTGGGGGAACCGGGCGGCGATGGATTGGCCAGCCGGTGGGCCGGCCGGCCCCCACCACGCCGGCCGGGCTCCGCCCAATCCCCTCTAGCGGCCGTGCACCTCCTCCAGACATCGCATCGGTCGTTCGGTAGCTCTTAGTTTCAGGTTAGGAGCCTGCTAGGACGGGTCTCGTACTCTCTTCCTGAGGTCAGCCGAGACGAGACGAAACGAGACGAGACGAGACGAGGCGAGGCGAGGTGAGGCGAGGCAGGGCGAGGAGAGGCGCGGCGAGGCGAGGGAAAAACCGGAGCGCCAGTGAAGTGTGACCGCGTGCAGTGCGTTCGTCGGTTTTTCCGCGCGAGTGTGGGTGTGATGCCGCGGCGAGAAGCACGAGAAGAAACAGCCTGACGACGTCCGGCCTGAGACGAGATTCGAACTCCTGGTGTCTCGAGCCAGGATCATCGTGTACGTCGATGACTTTGGTGAACTCGGAAAGGACATTGTGCGATATCGTGTGACCGTGGGGTCAGTGTGTGGTGCGACGGGTCCAGTGTGTTCCGGGACAGTGTCCGGGACTAAGAAAGAGGAAGAGACGGTAGCGACGGGCCCGCCGGCCGAGGCGTGCGCCCCAGGAGGCGTCGGCGGCGCCGGCAAACCAAGGGGAACAGTTTTGGGCCCGGCGGAGAAGCTCGAAGCCGTCAAAGTGGCTTCGTCACTGGGCCTCCAGGGGCCGTCAGCGCCGATCGGGGCCCAATTACTGGCTACTGGCGGTTCGGAGGATGCACCGTCCGTGTACCACGCGAATCTGCTAGCCAGCAGCAACGCGTCCGTGCTCCAACAGCCCGTTCTAGCGAGCCTGAACACGCCGGCACTGGCCAGCATGCAGGCCTCTGCGGAGGCCAACTCGCTGGACATTCAGGCCATGCAGTCCATGGACTGGCTATTCAAGAAGGAGCGTATATACCTGCTCGCTCAGTTCTGGCAACAGGTAAGTGTGCTCGACGTGCGTGATTCGCGTGTGATATCTCTCTCTCTCTCTCTCTCTCTCTCTCTCTCTCTCTCTCTCTCGCTCGCGCGTACTCGCACGCGCGCGCGCGCGTGCTCGCGACCAAGCGCCTCTCTATGTGTCTGCCTGTGTGTGTGCGACTGTGCTGCGTGTGTATGCGGGTGTGCGTGTGTATCATTGGTAGGACCTTACCTATAGTGTCGGCCGGGAAACAGATATTCGCCACCGACCCTCTGCACCCTCGAACGTGCATTCGCTCTGAGCCGATCCTACGCACCCGAGGGAAACGCTGCTCGCTCGTTCCACCAGTCCCCGGTTACCGCGGACACTTGTAGCTTCCGGGCACCCGGTGGAGCGCGGAGAACGATAAACGCCAATGTGTCGACTCGCGGAGTCTCTCCAAGTGTGTGCCGTGATCCACATCTTCTACGACGCGTAAGAGATTCTCTTCGACCTGATTGGAGAAAAAAAAAAAAACCATCCCGCGTGTGAAGTGTTTTTTAGCTGACGGGGAAAATTTCCCACGAGACTATCTGCCACGCGTCGATCGACCGTTCTCCATCGATCCGATCGTTCGCGTCGTGTGAAAATTCCACGAAACAACTGTACGCCGCGAATACGCGAATGGTGCCACGACGATCCGTGATTTCGCGACCAATCGAATCACGTTTCGCGAGTCTTTCGTCCGTTAATCGCTGGTCAGGTTCGCGGCCACTTGGCCGACCCGGAGTTTCAACGAGGGTGCGAGGGTGGCGAAGTTTCCCCGACACTTGCTGTTTCGAGGATAGTTCAGCGATTTAGGGGATCGCTTGACCGACTTGCGGCAAAGTGGCCCACATACAGTGGTTGACAACCTGATATTCTTCGTGGTGCGATGCATACGTGCAAACGCGAAATTTGTGCCGAAAGAATCGCAAAGTGTCGTTTCACGCGATAACCGAACGCGTTTGTTCGCGAAACCGCGTAGATTTTTCCTCCATGCTTTCCGAAAAATCCTCTGGTGAACGGATCGCGAAGTTAGCGAGAAATTTTGGGTTTCGCGAAGAAATCAGTTTCGAAGAATCCAAACGATTCTGTAATCGTCGCGTATAGTTTTCCGCGAAAAGTGACAAACGTTGATCAACGGTGACACGAGTGTTTAAATTCCCTCGTATCTCGATCGTATCGAACTTTAGATATTTTACGAGAGAACGATGGACAACGAAAGATCGTTTACGAGTGATTTTATTCCGTTACGAGTATGTTTGCGAGAAAAGAAGCGGTTATAAAGGATACCGGTTATAATCGGAAGAATCGTGTTCGTCGTTTTAAACGTTTGCTAGTCCCGCTAATGGTACCACGAGTGACACGTGAGAGACATTTTTACACGCTTTTCTCGATTTCGCGTATCTCCCACCGGACGACGACATCTTCTAAACGTTCCTCCACCGTGGAAAACGTCGTTTACGAAATCACGGAAAATACGAAATATTCGATGTATTTTGTTCCTTATTACTATTATTAACTTTGTTTTCGTCTTTTTCGAGAGCGCAATGAGCATTTTCTTTACTTTGTGGAAACGCGGTTATTTATTTACTACGCTGTTCGAACTGGTCGGCAGAGACGCGATCTAAAGTTGACAGGTCTGCAAGTCTGCTGCTATTTCTCCTGACGCTTAATATTTTATACGAAACGTGAGAATTTCTTCTTCGAATTCCACGCGAGCAAAACGCGTATATCGTATTATTTATCGAACGCGTAAATAAAGCATTATCGCATAGAGAGGCACGCGGAAAAGGCGCGTTTCGTACGATTCGACGTTGTCCGTAAACGTGCGAGGATCTCCTTCCGTGGCCTAGGTTCGGTGTCGGTCGGCTAAACGATGCTCCCGATAAAATACGACGGCTTAATAACGCGCGAACTGGTCTCGTACCGGTACGGGATTACCGGCTAACCGGGTCGAGACTATTAATGTCGCATAGTTTCATAATTATGCGTATTGATTAGACCGTGGGTTAACGACGCCGGAACGTGGCTCGAACGTGGCTCGAACGTGGTTCGAACGTGGCTCGAACGTGACGGAAAATGGAAGACTCGACGCGACCAGTTTTCACCATTTTCCGCGTGTGCACCTCTGTGCACCTCTCGTGCTCGTGGTCGAAGCTACACACGGCTAACCGTGGTTGTCGCGCAGTGCCGGAGTGACCGGTGAAAATTTCAGCGTGGAATTTGTGAAACGCGGAGACGATTATTGGCAAAGCTCGTCGTCGCGTCCCCTTTCCCGACTTAATTCGCTCGGACGTAATCGCGATAGACGCGGTGCAGAAAGGTCGTAGCGAGAGGATCGATGAAGCGGTATAACCTGCTGACACGTTTCGGAGGAAAGTGAAAACGCCAAAAGCCAAGCTACTCCGGTCAACGACTGTCCTTCGCGATTAAACCGTGCTCGAGCAACGTCTCGATTTCCCGGCGAGAAACCGTGTCTCTTGGTCGCTCGGCGCGCTCGGTGCGATCGGTGCGATCGGTGCGATCAGTGCGCGCGACATCGAACCGTTCTTTCGTCGAATAATCGGCCGTCCACGGACCGTCGTGAGTCAGGCAACGGTTTCGGTTTCTTGGAACGCTGACAGGTTTGCTCCGATGACAGATGCACGGTTTCGTGACGCGACGCGAGACCAAGAACAGTGGAAACGAGTGATTTTTGGCTAATATCTACGCGATCAACGATCGGAGAAAATTTTATTTCGCGTCGATCGTTCCGCGTAACGGGGGTGGCATCGCGCAACTATTTTCGCTCCTCTCGCGGTTATTTTCGATGTCAGGAACTCGATTTCGTAGAACGCGTCACGTCGAATCCAAGTGCAATGGTAATTTTCAAAGGTCAGGAAATATGGTCGTCTCGTGGACGAATTTGGACGAGCAAGCATCCGAAAAGTGGGAACGCGATTTCGCGCGAAATCGTTATCCATCGAGAGTGATCGTTTCTCCGCAATTCGTAATTGGACGATTAGAACGTCCCATAAAGTTACGTTATTCGTCGCGATAACACGGAAATGCGATTTCGAGAAAATCTACGGCTCGTTCTCGCCGATACACCTCTCCGACCCATCTCTCGCGCTCCGTTTCGTGGAAAATTTCGCAAATTCGTCAAAGCAAACGAAACTGATACGAAACCAAAGGAGGAATCGATCAACGACGATTCCGGAATCGACGCGCTCGTTACGAAATTCCTCGTCGGTCGTTCGTCGCCAGTCAGTCAGTCAGTCAGTCAGTCAGTCAGTTAGTCAGTCAGTCAGTCAGTCGGTGAGTCGGTCGGTCAGTGAGCGAGGAAAAAATATGCCCGTCTGGCGAGGATTGATTTACGCGGGCAGCCAAAAGCGAGGTCACGCCAGACGTTTCCCGATTTTTAACCAAAGCCCGTCTTCCTCCCTCCATCTTGCCGTCTTTTTCATCTCGTCGAGCTAGGCGAACAGGGCGATTCGGTTAGAGAGCCTGCTGGAAAAATCGCTCGGACGCGAATTATCGGTTGCGTTGGCGAAGATACGAGGCGTTGGAACGAGAAAAGAGACGCGAAGAGACGAGAAGAGACGAGACGAGAAGAGAAGAGAGGAGAGAAAATTTGGAGAGAGAGGAGAGAGGCGGCGATGTCCGGTGGTGGTGTTTCGACGGAGCGGCCGTGCGCGTGGAACGAGACCACGAAGCGTACTCCCAATTAGGAGCGTGTCGACCGTGAATGGACAAAAGTTTTGCCATGACTCCGCTTCCCCTGCCTCTCCCCACGCGGTGCGCCCGTGGCCCCCTCCAGCGGTCGCGATTCCACTGGCAGTAGGGGGATCTCTGGACGCGGTTCCCGAGATCCCCGAGTGGCGGCGACACTTACCGAGACGCGGAGACGACGCGGAGACGTGAGTCACGCGTGCTCCGACGCCGGTGAGAAGAGCAGCCGTACGGACACTCGGCTGCCGGATGCTAACGCAAGTCCTCCACCGACCAACCCGCGCACCGGTTCCGTTCTCTTCCTTCTTTTACGCGCTCTATCCGCTTACATCCGATCTATCGTTATCTTCCGCGATCGTCGCCGACCGTGTTTAGAAGACGGCAGGATTCCTTGAAAACACCGCGAGTAATTTTAACTCGCTTTAACTTTCGCGCTGAAAATAGACGCGAAGCGGAACACACTCGGTTCGCGTACGATCGAATGAAATTTATAGCTACGCGTAACGAACCTATGGAAATTAGTTTGCCGTTTTTCGAGTAAAACGAACCACGGGCATTTTACTTATCGGTTACTAAAGCACTTTCGTCGAGACGAGCATCACCGCGTGGAAAATATCGCGTAACCGACACACGTGTTCGGTTGGGAAAAGCGTGGAACGCGAAGCTGGTCGAAGGACAATTGTCGCGAAGATGAAAACGGGCCAACAAGGGAATCATTGCCGTATTCCACTGACACGAGAAACTGTATCGCGCGGCGTGTCGGCCTCGAAATAGAATATAGAGGGTTATTTCGGATACGTGGGTCGTCTCGTTGGTCTAGTCCAGGGCTGGTCTAGACCTCCGGGGTTCACCCGTTTTACGAGCTGCCGGCAGGCAACGCGACCGCTTAGGTGGTGACTAGAATCGAGCGCAGGTGCACCGTGCCGCGTGTACATTTCCCGTTCGTCCCGTCGCCTTATTAAAACGCGTTACGGACCGCGTAACGAGTGTCGAACCGCCACGAGAACCCGTTCCACCATGAGAAAGAACAACGGGGGTGATTTTATGCCGGCTGATCTATCACAGGTGTTTTTCTAATTTACGTCGCCTCTCTTTTCTTATTCCTCTCTCTCTCTCTCTCTCTCTCTCTACCCCTTGCTCGCCGACTCTGTTATTTCCACGAATTATCCTCGTTATTCGCGCTAATACGCTTCTAATGCTATACTTGTCGAAGCGCCATAGAAACGAAGGTCTACGACGATTACGATGCTTTCAAATCCTCTTTCCCCCGATTTTTTTTTTATTTA